CCGAAAGTCCAAAAGTTTGTAACACATAATAAGATTTATTGAAATACGATGGCCTAGAGGAAAACCCCACCACGGCCACCACCGCCGTAGCAAACCCTAGCCACCACCTTCTCAGTCATCCTTTCGAAATTGACGGTGGTGTAGACTTAATCAGCTCTCTATCGGACGAGATCCTCCACCATATCTTCTCCTTTCTTCCTTGGACCGATTTGGCCATCAGAACTTCTGTCTTGTCCAAACGATGGAGGCATGTATGGTGCGAGACACCTTGTCTTTATGTTGATGCTTGTAGTCGTCGTTGGCACTTTAATGAGTGCATTAGGGAAAACCTAGCCAGCTACTCGGCCACCAAAATCATGAGTTTCCATCTCTCTACCAACATATTTTGCAAACGTGTTCGCCACGTAACTAATAGCTTGATCGAGTTTGCTATGTCTCACAACGTGGAGAAGCTTTCTCTAGAGTTCTGGCCTGATGGTTATTCCGCTTTTCCAGATTTCTTCTTTAGCAATTGTTCCCCAACGCAACTAAGGAGCTTGTCTTTGACCCATTGTCAGCTCTTTGCTGAACCCTTCTCTAAGATTTTGTCATCTTGTCCAATGCTAGAAAGCTTGACATTGGTGTATAGTGGTTCACTTGAGTATCTTGATCTGAGTGAATCGCTGCGCTTGAAAAGATTGGATATGGATATTGATTATTACGATCCAATTCAGATTGTGGCGCCTCATATCTGTTCTTTGAGATTGAGAAAGTTGATACTGATAAGTTATCAAAGTAATTGTACTCTTGTTGATGTCTCCTCTTTAACCGAAGCTAACATTGACTTTGACAATTGGCATGCAACTGATCTTCGTTTGAAGGCGGCTCTTCAAGCCATGGTGCAAACGATGCTAGAAAAGTTGCAGAACCTAAAGAACCTTACTTTAGGGGTTAACTTTCTTAAGGTATTTTGCCATTCTTTTGCATCCTTTAAAACCTTAATGCTTAGGCCTTTTGTTGAGAGATTTAATTCACTATTTATTTTGTGTTAAAGTTTTTTCTTCTCAATCTTATGTTAGATACTAACTATGGACGAGTTCCATGGTGTTCCTTTCCCGACGTTTAAGGTTAAAACTTTGACTCTTGAAACAAGGATTTTGCAATCGCGATATGTGGTTCCTGGTTTAGCAAGGCTGCTACAAAACTCACCGGGATTAAAGAAGATAACGCTTTACGCAATTGACACCAACACCGAAGTGGAATGTTTACCATGAACCTCCATGACCATCTTTTTCTTCATATAATATGGAACGATATATTGTACTGTGGAAACATGGTTTTAGTTTTCAAGATTAAATCTTTTTCTGTTTTTTTGCAGGATGCAAGTGTTAATTGCTTCGTACAATGTTGGAGACTGAAACTTGTGGGTTCGTTCGTGCAACTTTTACTGGCAAACACAAGAACACTAGAGACATTGGTCTTACGGTTAGGAAGCTGTATTGATAGATCAAGATTTGGAGAGCTCTCACGACAATAATGTCTCAATTGTGATCAAGTGAAGCAGTACTAAATCATGTATCATATTCATAGAGTTTTTTTTTTTTTTTTGGTCACCATATTCGTAGAGATTTAGTGTTGGATCCTATTGAACACTTTTATATTTGGTCTGAACACCCATTTTTTTTTAATATGTTTCTTTCGTTTTTTATCGTATGTTACATCATTTAAAATGTATTTTAAATTTGAATGATCTCATCACAAATGAATATTTTAAAAAAGAAAACAAGGGTTTGAGCCTTGGGCCCTAATCGAATTTTTTTTATTCGAGGCCCGATTCATTTTTTTTTCTATTTGCAGAAAACCTCAAGATTAATTTTGAAACACTCAAGATAGTTTGTTATAACCTTTGTCCTAAAGACCCAATAATGTGTTGAAACAGGTCTAGGCATCAGATATATTGAAC